AAAAAAATCAAAATAATTTGAAAATTCACTTCACAGGACTCGTAGACACGTCCTTCCTTCGTCCTCCATACACGTTTCAATCCTCAATTCCTAGTACTGAAGCACAAATAATTTTTAAAACCCTCTTGCAGATATCCAAGATTTTTTTAAATTAACCAATCAAACTAACCCAAAAAATAATTTCCATCACAGATTGAAAAATGTTCAAAAGACTGGCAGACCCTGCCTTCTTTTGACGACCTCAGGACACATTACATACTTTGATTCTACCGAATTTTTTTAAAGCCAGATGCAGATTTCAGAAAGACAAATGCAAAAAATTTCCAAAAAATCGTCCTATCAAAACCGATTGAAGAATTGCCTAGTATAACTAAGACACATCTTTCCTTTGTCATCATAACAAATTTCAACACTCCTTCAAACTCCAGCTACTTTACCATCAATTATTTTTGGAAAATTCGCCTGAAGTTTTCAAAGAATTATTTTTTTTAATCCCCACCAAATCATCTTCATCGCCGATTGAAAAATGCCCTCCCCAAGCTTGTAGACCCAGTCTTCTTCTGACCTGAGAACAAATTTAAACTTTGATTCCACTGAGTGAATCACTGAATGTTTTGAAAAGTAAATTGCAAATTTCAAAAGGGCAAATTCAAAAATTTCCCAGAAAAAACATACCAAAAATGAGCTAACAACTCATAGATACACCCTTCCTCTGACCTCAGAACTAATTTCGATCCTCTATACCTGCTACTTTAGTACCTATGAATTTTTTTAAAACCCCTTGCCGATTTTCAAGAAGAAATTTTTTAAAAATCCCTCCAAATCAAAACACCAATTCGAAAATTCCCAACAGGATTAGAGACCACTTTTTTTTGTCCTCGGAGGAAATTTCAAACCTCAATTCCTGCTACTTTAGCACCAACAACATTTTCAAAACCACGTTTCAAATTTCCAAGACGTAATTTCAAAAATAACTTTTAAGGCCTGTTGAAAAAACACCAAGCATCTTCTTCGTTCTTTAGGAACTCAATTAAAAAACTAAATTTTAAAACATTGAATTATTTTCAACTGATTAGAGTGACGAATTAATTATCATCAGTAAACTGATATTTTCCTTTATATTTGAATTTTATTTTCATAATTCACCTGTTAAATTTGTGAATTTACGCATAGAGCAACGTATTTACACAATGTTGTTGAAAAAAAAACGTTATTTGCGGTCGAGTAAAGTAAATAATTGCCAAATTAATCACTAGTAAGTAGTTTGCAAATATCCCAGTTTTATTTATAAGAATTATTTAATAATGAAATGGACACCCTGTATAATGCGTTAATAATTTTTTGTTTGTTTTCAAAAGCAAATCCCCTTATAGCTGATAATAAAAATACAAATCCGGTCCTGCGTTTCTGTAAAGTGACTATAAGGCACTATTAAAGATATGTTGCCCATCATTATTTCATTGCAACAGCTTCAGGTTTAAGCAATTTCGCAAGAACAAAAAGAAAACAACAAACAGTAATTTGCCACTAATAACTACGAACATTACGGGTCAACGTGAAAGTTTCGCGAAAATGAACTTAAACATTACGGTCAAACTTAAAATACTTATTTGTTAACTCAAATTAGTAATGTTTGATTACAAAAAAATAATTATTAATTAATTAACAAATGTTCAACGGATAACCGTTTGCCAAATGATAACTCGCGCAAGATTTATAAGAATATACGCGCTTGAAAGGTTTAGCTTTCAAAAAACATAATGTAACAGTTTTTGTACTAATTAATTAGTAGATCATATTTCATTTCATGTAGGGCGTGTTTTCATTTGTATTTCAATAAAATAAAAATGTCCTTAGATATTAAAAGAAGTACAAATGAAGCTGAAAACTCATGTTCACGTCTTAACTCCATGGATAATAGTTTCAACAAAACCTTAAAAACCCGCGCAATATTAAGTTAATATCAGATAAATAATTTGAGAAAGTTACGGGTAGAGGAAGAGGTATTATTAATCGTAACCCAATCAACAAGCTGGAACTTTCACGCACAAAGCGCTCATGAATATTAGTTTCTTTTGACTTGTAAACACGTATAGGTACATATAAGTAACCTAATCAGCTTGAAGGAAAACGTAAGATAAAGTAAGGTCATAAAGCCTTTAGGAATCCAAAAATCAATATAAATTGACTATCAATCGAAGTCAAATGGGTAATTGAGAAACCCGGTGCTGGGTTTTTATGTAAGTGAACTTTAACATTTTATTAATTTAATTATTATTGGACTATTCAAATGTACTAGTTTCCATTGAATTAATTTATGTTTAAGCTTCGTTTGCAGATTATACTTTAATGTCCAATTAAGGATACTCATGAGCGCATATTCATAACAGATCCGTTAGTTGTATTGCAGATTTATTTCAGCAATTCGCCAACTAAATTTCATTTTTACAACCTGAATGTAACCGGGTTTCTCAAATAGTTGCGAAGCTTAATAGTCAGTAAAATTGTTAGATGTGAGTTTGTTCATGCCTTACATTCATGTTCATAATCAATTATTATTAATTTAATAATAATACGTTTTGAAAATAAATGACGATCTCTTCAGGAATTGGGAATTATACTTGGGTATACACTTTAATTGCAATTCAAGCCAGCGATGCAATGATGCATGAGCGAACAAGAATTATGATCGATTTGCTTTAGATAAACCAGCCAACATCATAATCGCGCTCGACAAGAAGTAATTTACTTTTACTTCAAGTTACAAAAAATACTGATGTGCATATAGAAGGGGAAATTAGACTACCATTAAATCTGAAGTGTTTGGTACCAAATTTGCGTAGTCCCGCCAAGTGGTCATATCAGTTCACAACAACGATATCTAGAATAATTGTTATTAACAGCCAAATTAATTTATTTCAGAAAAAACGTGAGTAAGACAAAAACATTGTGATGGGTAAAAAACAAGCTGTAAGTCTAGCGAACATTTCACTGCAGACTGTTAAATTATTGATATACAAGCATTCAGAAAAAAGCAGAAGATATTTCAACAAAAGTGTTCTAATACCCTTAGCAAATGCCATTTATCTTGAAGATCAGTTGGGTATCGAAGCCACTGAACTTGAAACATTACATTGCAGTCCAGAGCCTCAATTTAAACTGAGATTTAAATTATAAAAGAACAGTAAATTCTGCCGGAACATGATTTAAACTCAACATAAATAATATCTGCCGTTAGTTTATCCCTCGGTTCTGCCCACTAGCATTTTTTTCTCATGCTAAAAATACAATTAGCTAATTGGGGGTAATTGATATGTGTATGTCACGGTAAGTTTGCGGAATAATTGATTTTGCCTTGAACGTATTGAGCAGGTGACGTGACCTGATGATCAACTTACGGTAAATGAAAGAGCCATCTGGTATTAAATGCCCCCAGAGACCAATTTACTGAAGACCAAGACAGTTAATCTTCAGATAATTGTGTTGAATTCAAGAACCAGGTAGAAAAGTATAGAAAATGTATGGGCTTCCAAAGCCCTATATTTATATTGTACAATAAAAAGATGTTTCATTGTTGGAAATGGGATATAAATGATGGTGTCAGCTTCCATATGCTAGCAATTAACAAAATGGAACGTAACAATGAGTTTCCTTCAGACAAGATTGAAAGTTTTTTCGGTTCAGTTGCTAAGATTTCGCAAAATCCAAGTCCATTTGAACATAGTGAAAGTGTTTTATTTTCGAGATACCAGATAATAAATTCTAAACAAAAACGTGTTTTTTATTAACAAATATTATTTCAAACATTTAAAGTGGCGTACTCAGTCATAAAACAAGATGCACGTTTGTCAAAAGAAATTACGGCCCTGCAGTCTTTTTTGGCCCTTTATATGTAATATTCGTATTTATAATATTGTAGTATTGCAATAAAAATACTAAACTTGTAGTCCCTTGACTTCTTTTAAATTTTAGCTTCGTTTTCCAGGAAACATTACAATGCCATTTTTCACGTTGGCAAAAATCACTCCTTACTCGTTAGGAAAATACTTCAAACTCAGGAACTATTTTTTTAAACAAAGAAGTATAATAAATATAAATAAGTATGACAAAACAAAAAAAAATGAATGTTCGCCTTCTTGCTTTGCAGCTGCAGACAAAGTAACTTTATGTTTTGTTTAGCGTATCATCAATAAAGTGATACATTTTTGGACTAAAATAGCATGGTCATTAACACGAAAAAAGTTAAGGCATAAAATGTACTATTTTGGTACATTTGGTGTAGATTTTAGTAGATCAGGTGATATTTTGTAAAAAATAACGATGGTATTGAAGAACAAAAGAAATAATTGATGAAATGCACATAAAACATGAAGCTCTGAAACACATATATAAATATGTATAATAATATGTCATGTTTTAAGTTGTTGATTTCTTAACTAATTTATCAATTATATAAAAAAGTTCTCTTTCAGTGTTTGTTCGTTGCTTTTTGCACTGTTCTTTCACTTTTGTACACCTACCAGCAATTTCAGAAATAAGTTGTTTTTTATAGTTAAGTACTAACTGTTATTGTTTTTTGTGTTGGTTCCTTTTCGATGTTGATCATCATTCGTTAGAATTAGTACTCGTACATGATATAGGTAATATACATTATATTTTACTGAAATGATTTCTCAACTTCTGCTCTTCTGAGTTTTTTCTGATGATCTTGTTTTCATCAGGTTTTAACTTTTTTCACGCGTGGGTGATTTGATAGTTTCAAATTACATTTTGTTATTGAGTTCATACCAATGGTATAAATAAAACTTTAAAGTAGCACTTATTTTGTTCTGGACGCTGGTGTTCTTTATTAATATTTTTAATACAGTTTTTGTCCAACTGAAAGCCAACATGTCCAAATGAGAAATTTCCCATTTTTGCATTGTTTCATTTGCTACTCTGTAGAAACTTTATCTGAAATACTAATTATTTGCAAACGCACAAACCGAAAAGGGATTCAAATTAAAAAAATCGGTCTTCTTTTGCATTGAAAAACATTTTGTATCGAAAAATGATTGCACTAAAGAAGGCTTCAAACAGAATTCAAAGATTGCAGATTGCAGAAGATTGCAGTATTAGTTTAAATACATAAAGTGTGTATATTTTCTTGCTTTTTAACACTTTTCCATTTTTTAGATGTAATGGAGACATTTCAAAAATCTTTTAGAAAAATTATTATCTATTGCAATGTTTAGGTGCTAACTCAAATATATGAATAGTTAGACAATTTAATTTTGAAACGATAATCTAGCATATGTATGCATATGCATATGATGTATAGCAATAAATCTAGTAGGACTACAGAATGCTATTAAATAATAGCAATCATTCTTATAGTTCACATAAGTGAATTGATTGAAATGTTTTAAAATTAAAAATGTAACTAATAACTAAAATATTTCGAATCTAAACTCTATTATTTATTGAATAAATAAGTTTATACATTAATGATTCGGTTACCACGAAAAGACTCTTGTGAAATACCTACCTGCGGTTCTTATTGATTGATTAAGTATAGTACTTAGTTTTATTGTTATTAGTATTATTATTAGTAGGAAAGAATTTGCCAAAACTAATCGACAACAAAAAATCTTGTTATTTTATAATATCCAATGTACCTCCACCATGTATCTAAATGTAAATATGTTATAGAAAAACTACCACAGGTTAGACAATGGTAAAGATTCATTGGATGGATGATACAACCCAATGAATTGAAAAATATTTATGCATATTAGGTATATTTATTAAGATTGGACGCAGTGAAAATATTCGAAATGAAATTACTTAAATAAATATTTTCATTGATCAGCTAGATATACGCAATAGAATTTTAGACAGACAAAAGTATGTAAGAAGGCTCAAAGACTAAATAAACACGTAAAACTGGTTACCAGTATAGTAGTTTGAGTCCATGAATACAAAAAAACAACTAAACCCCAATCAATCCAAAAACAGATAATATACCTACTAGCTCCCCTTGCATTTTGCTTGATGTGTTAATTTAAGAAACAAAATCCTATAGTAAAGTGCAGAAAGCAGAAAAGAAAAACTATTGATCAGTCTTGTAATGTACGGAAATAACTATATGAAATCGATGGATATGAACAGGACACCGCATATAAACAAATCCAAGTAAGTTGTTAGTGTTAACTAAATTCTTATCAGAGAACAGTGCAAGTAAGTAAAAAAATGAATAATTGATTAACAATTTTAAAAAACTTACCTAAATTGAGCCTCTTAGCGGTATTCGCACTGCACGTTTTTCATGACAACAAACACCCTGAAAGATAACACAAATATGCGAATTTTTCTGAAATGCACCTTCCTGAAATACTGAAACGAAAATAAATAAACTCAGCCAATGAGGTCAAAATGTGATAGCTGTCAGATAATGAATCTAGCGGCTATCACGTGAGCACCCGTGCTAAATTCGCCTATAGGTCACATGGGGCGTAGCTGATGTTAACCGATCAATGCGGCATTGCCAAATATATCTTCTCTTCTGGAACAAGGAGAGGTATATTTATTTATTTATATATAGATATGTTATCGCTTTTTCGATTTGAGGTTAGGAATTCGTTTTTGGGTTTTTAATGAAATCAGGACTTTCCCTATTGAAAAGGAAAACAGTGTTCAGTGTTTGATTTCGCATTAAACTTTAAATATCGGGTTTTGGAGATTTTTTCTGAAATGGTGTTCAAGTGTCAGAGTGACTCATTTCTCAAGGAAGTAAGATTTTAATTTTAGATTTTTTTAAAATGTTAAATTGAAACATTTTACTAAGTCTGGATCCGTTATCACGCGTGGGCTTTGACTGTAATGGTTCTAATTCATAACTCAAATAACTTCTTTCTTTCTTTGGTCATTATTAGGCATTTCAGTATTTAGATACCCAATGCAGTCAGCACCGAACCTGATAATCACGTAAAAGTCACCAATTTTGACGAAGTTCGAAGTAGTTCGAAGCTCTTTGGAATTCGATAATAAAAAGTTCCCTACGTTGTGGACTACACTAAAACAGTTTTTTTAACGGCATTTCTTGCAAAAATGCATTTTTCGACCACTTTTTTAGGCTCAAATTTTCACGATACGGGGCCCTAGCGGTTTTGCGCTGCTCAGGCAATCTGCCGGCAAAGTTTAGCTATCATTTAAGCAATTTAAATAAATTATTGTCTCCCCGATACTCTTGAGGAACTCTAAAACGAGGGAGTGGTCCACTTTGGAGACATCTCGATCCAAGATGTTACCGCATCAAGATACAATTAATTTGTACAAAGTACCTATTCATTGTATCATGTTACCACATCATCCAAGTTTAAAATGCGATGCTACATATCCAAGCCAAAAATGACCCCAACAATAATAACTTTTTTTTAATCGGCGAAAACATAATTGTAAATAATAATTGATTATTATTTAAAAAAAAATTCATTTAATATCAGGCTTCCATCCAATAGCTTGTAATGTTTTTGTTTGGTGCCCTGCCCATTAAAATGTGTGTGTTCAATTTTCGGCAAAAACAAAGATGCTTGAGAATTCCGTACACAGCCTTTGTCGGAAACTTATTTATATGAATAAACGACTGTAGATATAACAAAAGTTTAATATTGTTAATATAGTTATTCTTTCTTAATTGGTTTGCTTTTGGTCATTTTATCCGTATTTGTATTTCTGGATTATATAGGAGGTCCCCGAAAGAGCGGGCAACTTCTCCAGTTTGGATAGAAGAGAAAAAATAGTATCCACAGTGTTTTTACTGTCTTTTGCCAAAAAAAGGCCTCACATGAAGACTTTAAATATCTAACCTATTCGTAATAATATCGAAATATTATTTTAATATACCGGGTGTCAATTTGAAACCTTCCCACCCTTAATATCTTTCCTGCAGTTGAAAATATGAAAAATTGGAAAGATCAGTCAATTTTATTTGTAAGGGGACCCTTTAAATTAATATTTTTAGCCTCCTTGTTTCAACCCCCTAGGACGGGTAGATGTCACCCTTAAAATCTTAAATGGGAAGGTAGGTCAAGTGGCATCGTTTTAAAGGGCGTTCAATTATCTTTAGATTAGTTACTACTTTGTTCAGAGGTTTTCGAATAATCGCGTTTCAAAATTACAGAAACAATTAAACTTGCCTGCATTCAGATTTTGGTTTTCAAATTAGTGTGTAAACAAAAATTATATCATTGGGTCTCCTTATATATAGTCGAAATGATTAAAAGATTCTGTTACACCGTTAAAATCGTTGAATAACAGGAAGAAAATCTAGTTTAAACAATTGATTTCGGATTTATTGATTTACTTCGAGAAAAATCAATTTTATTTACGGATGAGAAATTTCTACAAAAAAACCCATGGGATCTACTAATGCACTATCTTATAAGGTGTTCAAAATGTTGTATACTTTCCTGTAAACAAGAATAAAGTCTATTTTCGAACCCTCCCTAACATTGATAAGATATTCCCGAATAGATCGATTGGCAGAACGGGACCAATTGAATGGCCTCCAAGATCACCGGATGTATCGCCCTTAGACTTCTTTCTTTGGCGATATCTTAAGTACATTTTTTATAAAACACAACCTGCTGATATTGATGATCTTAAAAGGCGGATTGCAGCAGAATGCCGGTCAATTCCCGGTGAAGTTTTCCGACATGGTAGGAAACAGTTCAAAAACAGACCTTATTATTTTTACCGAAAAATTGACAACACTTGAACAACTTATAAGATAGTGCGTAAGCAGACGATATACGATTTATTGTAGAAATATTCTTAAAGTGTCCCCCTTACAAATAAAATTGACGGGCCTTTCCGATTTTTCATATTTTCAACTGCAAGAAAGATATTAAGGGTGGGAAGTTTTCAAATTAACACTCTGTATATAATTGCAATCGATTTATTTCAGTTTTCTGCAAAAGTCATATCTTGTGATAAGGCTGTAGGTGCTGATAATAAGAAGGATGCCAATGTAAAAGAATTATATGAGGTGATTTTGGAAGATACAATTTTGTTTCCCGAAGGAGGAGGTCAGGTATGTCTTTTTATGTAAAACGCTCAAAATGATATTTTTTAAAGAAAGTTGTATCTACGAAACTACGAACTCTGCAAATGCAAATTCTTCAGTTCGACTTGCTGGTAAACATACAGTGGTTCCTTTTAAATGATTATAGCCTTGCGACTATGGATTTCTCAACGCCATTCCCGTGAACAAAGTTGTTCGAAAAGGAGATAAAGCTATTCATATCATTCATGAGCCGTTGCCTATTGGTAGCGAAGTAAAGCAAACAATCAACTGGGACAGGCGATTTGACCATATGCAGCAGCATTCTGGTCAGCATTTAATTACCGCCCTTATAGATCGAGAATTTAAATATCCTACACTGAGTTGGTGGCTGGGAGAAGATGTTTCTTACATTGAATTAGGTAAACGGTTTTCCAGTTCTGGGATTTAATTTGTTCTTAAAAGTGGACAAAGATCGATCTGCTTTGAAGAATAGCATATTCGAGCTAAATATTCAAATTGTTATTCGGGTGAAAATTTGTTTTGCAACCTGTGCACTCGAAAATTTGTATTTGCTGTTTAACGATATAAGGAAAATATTATTTTGTACTCACACAGCTCTTTACTTAACCATTTTTTGCAACAGACATTTTTTAACAGGTTGTATTAATTGAAAATTTTTTTGAAAGGTTTCAGGACATTCTTTCCATGATGAAATCGTGCATTTAAATCTCTCATGAAATCGTGATTTAAAATTTGAAATGTTATGCGATTTTCATCATTTATTAACAGCTGCGGTCGTTAATAGCAATATATTTGAGTCATCAGTGCAGACACATCAACCTCTTCCTCAATGTTCACAAAACTTCTCTGTGAGCCAACAAAGTCTGAATATGCGATTTAATATGCAACTACTTTGTAACTTTCGCACTTAAATTCTTAGAGAAAACTGATGATAAAACGAGCAAAGAATAGAACAGCCAATCTAATCTCGCTGAATAATCCCATTTTATATTAATTTATAGATATCCCAAAAATCACCGAAGCTCAAATAAAAGAAGCAGAAAATAAAATAAATGCCCTTATCAGGGAAGGTAAAAAAGTGACGGTAGAAGTGTATTCTGAAGATACCCCAAAGGAAGAATTAGAAAAGGTACTTGAACTATCCCTTAAATTGGAACAATTTTGGGCGTTGGGAATTTCTCATGTTCATTTTTTTTTGCCATTTAGAATCACGAATTCGTGTATTAATTCTTTTATAATACCGTGGTTTAAGGTTCGAGCAAGAGGACTGCCTGATGATCATAAAGGCGACATCAGGGTGATTAATATTGAGGACTTGGAGCGCAACATGTGCTGCGGCACTCATGTGACCAATTTAAGTCAATTGCAAGCAGTAAAACTACTAAACAGTGAAAAAAGCAAAAGAAAAGACAAGACGCTGCTTTATTTTTTGGTTGGCAATCGAGTGTTGAAAAGACTATCGGACTGCATTGAACGAGAACAGAAACTGGTAACACTGTTAAAGTAAATTAGGCACAAAATAGTTTCAAGTTGTTTTTTCTTATGCAGTTATAACTTTTTCCAGAAATAACCCTTCTCAACATCCAGAACTTGTAGATAAGCTGCAGAAAAACGTTAAACTCCTAACCAAAAACGTTCAAACAGTACTGAAAGACCTCGCGCTTGTGCATGCTGTAAAATTGAATGAGACTCTTCCAGTACCTGCCTATTATTCAATGCATAGGAAAGAGGCTGAGCCAGATTTTATGAATACTTTTATACGGGAACTAGGTGGCAGAACGGATATATTTTTATTTTTGTCTACTGGTGACGAAAAGGAAGCTGGAAATATCCTTCTATATGGGCCGGAGAAGGATGTTGCACATCTAGGACCAAAGTAAGTTTGTTTATAATGGAAGTTTTATATGAGGAAGCCATTCTGTTTAAAATGAAATTCTGAAAAATAATTGTGCTGCAGGATATGTGAGTTGTTGGGTGGAAAAGGGGCGGGAAAAGGCCATAGGTTCCAAGCGAAAGTGTCCAAGATGGCAAACAGATCAAAAGCAGAGGAATTATTAAAAGAATATTTCTCAAACTGAAGTCGAGGCTGTAGCTGCGGTAACTTCCAAATTATATTAGTGGTTTATTTAAAAAATAATATTAAAGATGATTAATTCTTATTTATTGCTAAAATATGCGGCGGAATACCTGGATTTAATAACAAATTGCGCGAAATTAATTGGATTATGTGAGGATTTTTGTGACTCGGAACTACACTGCATGATGGCAAGAGGGCACTATGAGGGTATCAAAATTAGTAAATAGCTAAAAGTTCGCTCAATGGGAATGGGAGAAGGGTTGGAGTTAAATTCCCAATAAATACCGCTTAAAACTTTAACTCAGCAAAATAGACTAAACGTTCTTAAATTAAACGCAAACGTACTTTAATGCAGCGTGAATACCATCTTATCCACTTTTTGCCTTGATCAATCGAATTTGCAAATTTAAATAGGATGCTGTTTGTTCACTAGCAAGTTCTGATAACTCTTTTATGTTGAATTCAACTATGAATAATTTGCTAAGATTCGGTTATGTTTGACTAGTTCTAACGTATGAAAATGTTGATTATATTTAAAAAAAATATTTTTAACCAACTACCGAGTATTTTACATAGTAAAGATTGGTAACAATACAGTAAAATAACAAACACTTTTAATGATAAAGCAAAACCAAAAAATATTTACTAGTGCGTTTTAAAGGCGTTCAAAACCCATCAAAATGTTTATGATTAGGATGAAAATTAGCTTTCAGTTTGCTATTAAACAATCACAGTAATATTTAAAAAAACAAAGTTGATAAAATCCAATCAAGTTTATCTCTTTTCTCATAGGGTTTTCTTCACGTTAAATTTAAAGCTGCTATGAAAGTGTAGTCTGTTTTGAGTAGCTTTGAAACTTCAATATCCCTAGAAAACGTATAGTATTTGTTTTTTATTGTTTTATAAAAATGATTATGCAGAAATTCAAAAATTTCCAATTTAAGTTTCTAACTAGACAATGCAGATTTTTAAGTGGCCTTCTGTTGTTTTATTAGTTTCAACTCTAAAAGATGCCCCAAAAATCACATCAAGCTTTTTATAATGCGGAAACCGGTATAACTTATAGGGCAACATTTTTAAAATTGAAGGATCGCTTCAATGGTTGAAAATTTGAAATTGAAATTTAATCAATTCATCAAGACTAAATGCCCACACGATGTTTACTTTTTATTTAATTTAAGACATTTAATTTTGTTTAAAAAGTCTATTGCGCATCTGATGGGAGGTGTTTATCTTTGACGGAATGTGGTTTTTTCATACAGAAATACTTGTAGATTGTCTTTGAAAATAAAGTCGTACGAATTGAAATTATTTAGAATATAAATCGAACAGCAAAGCAAGTCGAAGGGACTATCGAGCAAACGATTATATCATGTTAGTACTGAAGTACGGTGCGATTGGAATGTGGCAAAAACTTCAATATCGCATGCATTTTTTTGGAAAACTGAGTAAATATTCAGCCTGTTACAAGCAATGAAGGTAATTTATTATCAGTTCTTTGTGTCGTGTCGTGCGGGTCTATGGCTGGAATGTATAGGCTTTCGAAATATTACGGTTTTAGTACGGAAAAGTGAAAGTGCAATGTTACTGGGTTTATCTAAAGTACGCCTTTTTGGCAAGTGAGTCACTCATGCTTCTGGACTGGAATGGTTAAGGATTGGAGCGCCAGCTTGCAGAAAGCTGGTAAGGAGCATATCTATAAATCTCTTATTTTCAACTCATTTTAGTTTCTCAAACACGCAACTGATGCTTTATGGCTTTTTTGAAAATTTCTTTCTTGTTTTTGCTACTTTTAAATAGCAGCCGTTGGACCGACTTCTCGTTAAACTAATTTTTTTCTTCTTTCTTTCCAGGTGGCACGATGCAGCATTCGGTAAGTTTGCGATTACTTTGCGCCTGGTTGCCATGTAGATAGCTTTTAGTCCCATTGTTCTCTCAAGAACGACAATGGAGAGTCTGGATGGGTTTTTACAAAGTTTGCAAATTTAATTTCAGTAAAATTAATTTACTGTTACATAAATAATTTGATTCTAAATTAGTTAGTGATATTTTGGACTTCGGAGTGTTTTGATGCGAACGTTAACAGAAAAAATAGCTTAGCTTTTTGTTTTGCTTTTTAAATTGCTTTAGTAAGTGTCATTTTGTTGTAGTCATACTTTTAATTGCGTTGGAAAGAAATTTTACAAAGCTTTATTAAAAGCAATTTTTAATTTGCGGTTTATGTATGGAGGTCGCAATTTGAAACTTTTACTAGTTTGAAAGGACCACTGGCTCTAAAGATGCTAAAAGTTTCAGAAAAATCGCCCAAAGTCAGCAGTTTTGCCAGTTTGGTATATGTCGATCTAAAAATGAATGTTTTTAGGCAACTGCGCTTTCTTTAAAAGTTCCCATTTTCCAACCTAACTCAAGTAGCAATTTTAAAGCATCATTAGGTGCTTCAAAATTTGCTGAAAATATCATAGCAATCGCCTTAGTAACTGCTAGTCTCAAAATTTGCTAATATTGGTCTTAGGACGGACATACTTTAATCTCTCTTTTTTCCAACAAAATCAAGTTGCAATTTGAACTGGTCACCATCTCTAAATGAAACTTGAGTCTAAAGATTCTGAAAATTTCATCAAAATTGACCAGAATTCGGCGTTTTACCTGCTTGGTAAATATCGGTCTCAAATGCATGAGTTCACGCAACTGTCCACGCCTCTAAAAAATCGAGTCTCCAACTAACGCAAGTAGAAATTTACATCATATTTAAATGAAACTTGACTGTGAACGTTTGACAAAAATTGCCCAGAATCCCGAGTTTTACCAGCTTGAAAAATATCGGTCTCAAAACGGATGTTTTTCAACAAGAACTGCGCTCTTTGTTTTTAAAAATCGAGTTTTCCAACTAAAGCAAGTTGCAATTGAAATTTGCACCATCTTTAAATGAAACTTGACTCTCAAAGCTTCATAAAAATTGGCCAGAATCCTCAGTTTTCTCATCTTGGTAAATATAAGCCTCAGAATGGATGTTTTAATGCAACTGCGCTCTCTACTTTTCAAATCCGATTCTTCTAAAGCAATTGCCAATTCGAAAGTTTAGGTTTTGGCAATCATTGGTAGATGAATCCGTCCAGAGTTCTTTGAATGTGATCCTGATAAAAATAATTTAGAACTGCGGTTGTTCTTTTAAATTTAACGGCACTCAGCAATACATTTTTTATTAGTAAATGCAACCAGGGTTGTAGTTTATTTTTTATAATATTCATGCTGCTCGCATGTGCAGTTCTTATATTGAGGTGTTTGCGGAATCTGTATTGCCGTTTTGTGTCGATTTTTGATAAATGTAGCTTATGCTTTCACTAGGCATTATGACTCACTTTAAACTCAATATGCCTGCAAAAATTTGAAAACAAATACCTATTCGTTTCCTAGTGAGAGTTTCAAATAAGGTAGGCCTTACAAAGTGGTCTTAAATGGCGTATACGCTATTTAACTATAGGTTACGAGTTAGTGTTCGTTTGACTCAGATTGTAATGCTTATAAATAAGACTCACCACTCGTTATGGTTTATTTAAAGTCCGAATTTAGTGTTTAAATGAGTTGATCTCAACATACGGCTTTTTCAACTCAAATAAAGATAGAATAGGTATTCAAATTTGCAAAAATTAAATGTGGATATATTCTAAGCAATATCCAATTTGGACAATTGGAGTAAAAAAATCAAGAGTTGTGGGAGCCGATTTATTGAGGTACTTTTCTTTACATTATACATCAATAGGCCATGGTCGTCCAGAATTGGTCCCCCACAGTTGTTTTATGGAAACATCTGTAACAAAAAGCTGTTTGTAGAACATATTACTTTAATATTAAAACATTTATATTTGTTGCTGCAACTCTGCGTTTTGGCAAGTGCGGAACGGTTTTCGTTTCCCTCGCCTAACAAACATACATCATGCAAGAAAATGCAATTTTTTTTATTTAGGAGTTCTACGCATTTTAACGATTTTACGCCCTAGACTCAATCGGCCCACATTGCATCCTCAATTTATATTATTTAGTTGACTTCCAACTAAGCGTCCCCTCGTCAAATAATCATAGCCCTGCTAAAAATCCATTTCGAACATTTCGGTGCCCACTAGAAGCCCCACCAAGTGCCCAATATACATTAGTCACATTAGTCGGTTTTGTGTAAAAAATACACGTTTCACTCAATATTTCGGTAGAAAAGTGAATAAATTTACCTTAAAAACCTATCTTAATCTTCTCGCTTCACGTTCAGACTCGAGAAGCGTGAGGATGTCTCCTTCCCGGACGGGGCCTTTCACGTTCCTGATGATCTGTCGGTTTTGTTCCCCGATAAATTCGACTTTAACTTGGGTACATTGTCCCTGGGATCCAGTACGTCCCAATACTTTGATTACACGAGCCAAAACAACGGGTTTATCCATTTTTTTGCAAAGTTTTCGCTAACACGTGTGGTATCAAAACGATGGGCAACAGAGAAGAAACGCTAAAGCGGATTTAATATGTGAGGTTGGAAACTTTTAAATTGACAGATGACGTTGTTCCGGTTCCGGAAAAAATAGCGGCGGATTTAAAAGTCAAATCAAGTAAATATTTATTTATTTATCAAGTAAAAACTTCCAAGATTAAATTTAATTTCTAAATTTTTGATCGTTCAAATTAGAAAATGTGCTTTACTTAATGAATTGAAACATTTTCTCTACTCCGAAGATCCCATAGATCCATAATTGTCGTGCTATATGTAATCTTAAAGATCCGTGCGTAAGAATATTATTCACCGGAATATACTTTGTCATGTATTTGTCAATGTCATTAGTCGAATTTGGAGGTTAAATAGTTCGAAACTGAAAAACAGTAAACAAAAATTTTAAAAGTGCAGTTTTACGGAAAACACCAGGTGAATTCTTATTATGGCTGCTGCTGACGAGGATGTTTCAAAAAATTTGCATGCAATTTTCCACGAAGGGCTCAACCTATATAACAAAATATCGCAGAGCAATGAGCCCACTCAGAGCCTAGAAGTGCAGAGAGATGTTAAAAAAGCAATATCCTGTTTAGAACAAGCCACTCGCCTGGTATCGGTTGCAGATATTTTCAGTAGTAATGAGGAAATTGAGGAGCTTTCTACCAGTGATATTCAGTATTTGTTGTTGCCCGCTCTACTAGGAAGTCTGACTTCAAAACTTACATCCAGGGAACGAAAGGAAGTTATTGAAATAGCTGAGATTTATTTGCTTGACTTTCTACAGAGAACAAACAGTTATAAGCTAAGCAATTACAAAATTAGAAAGGGTGATGGTGAAGCGGAGCAAACTGATGGTTCCAATAGATCAGAAATTGAACAGCTGACCATTGCAGTGAACACACGAAACAGTAAAATTCAAAAATTTAAAGAGTTCAAGGAATTAAAGACTCAGCTCGAAAACCTAAAGAAAAATGTTGAGAATGAGCATGCTGATGAGGAAATTAAACGGAATTACTTCTTGACAATGATAAAAGTTATGATTCATGAAGCCATAGACGAACTCGACAGCATCAAAATGGAAAAGCCAATTTTGGCGCACATTGCTCAAATTAAACAAGATGGTGGTCCGAAACCGAAGAGACAACCACCACCACCACCTCCATTGAAGCCTATTATTATCACAAAAGATCAAGTGCAAAAAGCCATATACGGAGCAGGGTATCCATCAATGCCCACAATGACTGTGGATGAGTTTTATGAGAAAAGGGTGAGCATTAAACAAACGGTCATTTTACCAACGTTTCGAACATGATTTTATAGGTAGCAGAAGGAGCTTTTCCGGATCCTAACAAACCAAGAACGGGCCCAATGAGTATGCAGGAAGCATCACTAGCAGGAATTTCCTTGAATGATAGTGATAAGGAGGACGAAGAGAATGAAAACAAAGTTGAAGCTGATGATGACGAGAACATTCAAAGATTGAGAGCTCGAGATGAATACAAGGATGAACATAGGAGAGGTTGGGGAAACAGGATGAACAGGAGTTAATGCATTTTCCTTCTACGACAGAGAAGCATTTTCGATGCTTTCGACATAGGTACTTATTCTCAATGATTGCTAGAAATTCAGAAATGTATAACTACTTTTATGTGATATAATAAAATTAAAGTAATCTTCGAACTAAAGTTTCACTTGAGATTTGCCTTTAACCTATTGAGAAGGGGAATGCAGTGCAAATATAGTAAGGTCGTATTTTTGGGGTTTAAATATTATTTTTCTTATAAACATGAATTCAAAAAGAGTCATATAAATAAATGGCGTACTATTTTGTTGACGTAAGGCAAACGAGAAGATTTGCTTGTGATGAGTTTTTCGAGCTTTCAGACCGTCTTGAAAACGAATTTCTTATCGACGTTTCGCAAGCACGAGTGTCTTACGTCCTCCGGGGTGTTTCGGTCGGAAGTTTACAGTAGGTGGAGACGGGACTTACAGCTAAAAACCCTTCCGAATGCAAGCCAATCTTGCTTGCAGAACATCTGGAAGACATTCTTTTCCACGACGGTCTAAACACTGTATAGCTTACCGAATCTTAGAATTTGATGCACCTACCTGTATATACAATTAGACATATCTGTAAAAAATGCCATTTCAAACGCTAAGTGCGAAGTTAATCAATAAATTAGTAGAAAGTCCGCTGCGTATCCGTAGAAAGTCCGTATCGATTGAAAACTTAATTTTTCAAGAAAGTACAGATTTTTTGATTTCGAAAAATTTCAGCGTAGATTTTGAATGCGCACTGTAAAATGAAGCATTGTTTATAAAAAACGAATACAACAAATTTCAGGAATAAAAAAGGTTTTTGTCTAAATTTATAATTATCGATGAAAAGTAGTAAAAAAAGTTTCAGAGAAAACCTGGTAGCAGCGGTAATGTTAAAGTGACTTTGTCTTTTACTTTTAAGTTCGGCGTTCTTTATTTATTGAAATTGTTTAACTGCTCTTTCTAGCTAATCTTTACTACGGAATCCTTCTTTACTCCAGCTTGTTTTTTTTTTCACTTTTTATATACTATTTTACCTGACCATTACGGGCTAGATCTTTTAGAGAGAGATTTTTAATTATATCTTTACAGGCTTAAAACAATCTTTTATCTTTTGTGTTTTGTTACCAAACTATTTCTTGTGCCCAATCCGGTCAC